ATCTTGTGTAATCCCAGGCTATCTGTAATCAGAAGCACATTTATAACTGGAATATAATTTAATTTCATTCACATGTGTTTCATAAACACATAATCCTTTATGGATTACAATCCGCCATCAAAATGATACATTTAATTATTCTAGCTGCTGTGAGAAAAGGCTATAAACGAACGGCCACCTGCAGGATCCTCACATGCAACAGCCTAGTAGCCGGGACAACTTCTTTATGTTTACAGACGTGACGTAATGACGCAGTGCCATGCTCGAATTTCCTGCGAAAACCTACCCGTACCACTCAAATTAGAAAACATTATTATAAGCTAACCGTTGTGAATCTGGCTAAAGTAAGGCGATAGTTTTGAACACTGGCTGGTTATGTACTTGCTCAAATATTGATTTCTGATAATTTTTAACCAAAAAAAAGTTACGGACTGCAGCTTTAATGACAGAATTTTCATTTTTGGGTGAACTATCCCTTTAAGCAGCACAGCTGTTTTCAAAATTGATGATATCACACACACAATCAAAGGAATAAATTAAATTTTAAAATACATTAAAATAGAAAATTGATATTTTAAACTAATACTATTTCACAATATTACCGTTCTTACTGCATTTTGGATAAAATAAATGCAGCCTTGGTGAGCATTAAGAGACTACAGGTGCATCTCAATAAATTAGAATGTCATGGAAAAGTTCATTTATTTCAGTAATTCAACTCAAATTGTACTTTCCAGAAGGCCAACAATTCACTAAAAATGTTTTTTTTTATTGGTCTTATGAAGTATTCTAATTTGTTGAGATAGTGAATTGGTGGGTTTTTGTTAAATGTGAGCCAAAATCATCACAATTAAAAGAACCAAAGACTTAAACTACTTCAGTCTGTGTGCATTGAATTTATTTAATACACGAGTTTCACAATTTGAGTTGAATTACTGAAATAAATAAACTTTTCCACGACATTCTAATATATTGAGATGCACCTGTATTGCATTGAAAATATAATCTCCTTTTTCAGACTGTGTCAGCAATGTACTACTACTGTTATAAATGTACTGTTGTCCTGCTTTTAGTATTACTGTTGTATATCTTTATTGTCACATATGTTCAGTTTCCACATTTTTTAACAAAGTAGTGCAATAGCCACTGCGTGTAGAGTACATTAGTATTCCGTTTCGAACACAGCTTTTTTTCAGATGACTAATTTTTCTTCCCTTTTGAGAGCTTTTAATGTAAGAGATAGGAATGTAAACAGTAAGTGAATAGAGGTAGAAATGTCACAAGCCAGATTTGAACTCAAATTGCCCGCATAAGCGCCACGACACAATGAATCACAGAGTATGTGTGTTAAACAGTAGGCAATGACTCCAATTTGTAAAGGCCTTTTAAATGTAAATTCAACATTTCGTTTTTTTTTCCTTTCTAAAAGGTATTTTACATGCAACTTAAAGCTGCGGAATATAGAAGTGTTTCTCTAGACCTGCAGCTAAACACTGCAGTTAACACAAAGACGAGGGGAGTTTTAATCCACACCAGCACTTTGCTCACCTCATAACTACAGGAACAGAGTAGCTCTTAGCCTTCTACTGCTTGATTTCTTCACAGATCCTGTTTTTCAGAGCTGCACGTTGTTTTTATCAGAACACTCTGACACCACTCCGCTCTCTGTTTTTGTATTTTTTCCCCTCACGACCCCTCGTTTACTTCGTCTCCTTTTTTACTTCAGAGCCTGGTTCTCTGCATGAAAACAACTTGAGAGCATAACAACAACAGGTTCTTACTTGAGGAAAACATGACTGTGAATGAGACGTGCTGCAGGGGATGGATGGAAGGAAAACAGGAAAGAACAGAGAGTGCCTGCTGAGGGAAATGGACGAGCACGAGTGAAAGATATTTAAAGAAGGATATGTTGTTGCCAAAATAGATGCATGTAAACATGTCATTTCTACTGAAGATCTCATTCCCCTGAGTGACACACAACGGGCTTGTTTGTAACCGAGTGAACAGGAGAGGAAGAGCTGCTTTAATAAGATATGTTCATTCCCCTGAAGGGCCTGTTTGCAATTAAACTGTGTTTTTTTTGTTTTTGCATCATCTGTCAGGACCCCCACTATGGCAGGTGGTCTCTTCTCCATAGACAGAGGTTATTTCCAGGAGATTGGCACATATGATGCAGGCATGGACATTTGGGGAGGAGAGAACCTGGAGATGTCCTTCAGGGTCAGTCTCACTGCTAATATTATAATATTCAACCACCACAATTCCACTTGTGCTTATATAGTGCATATAAAGTTATTGATGATTTTTCATACTCTGAGAACTAATATTTGTCCTTGTTTATCAGATTTGGCAATGCGGGGGGGCGCTTGAGATCGTCACGTGTTCTCACGTCGGTCACGTGTTCCGTAAGGCGACGCCGTACACGTTCCCTGGTGGAACTGGCCAGATCATCAACAAAAACAACAGGCGGCTGGCAGAGGTCTGGATGGATGAGTTCAAGAACTTCTTCTACATCATCTCACCTGGTCAGTCACGTTTACATGCTACACATCTGCATCCTAAACAGATACACAGTAAAGTTTGAAAATACAGAAACACAAACACTACACACAATTTCAGTTTACATAGGCAAGTGCACAACTCAAAGAGTGAAATGGTTACAATATATACACAAACAATATAGACATATGGGCATTATATACAGTATATAATGTATAACATAATGCAATATATAATTTACAATATTTGTTATATGAAAAATAGTATACAGTATACAATATGTACAATATATAATTTACAATATATAATAAACTACCTGTCTAAATGTTTTGAACAGTAAGGTTTTTAATGTTTTTATTATGTTTTATTATTTATAAAGGTCTCTTCTGCTCACCAAGCCTGCATTTATTTGATCCAATATATTCCTATTTGAATATATTTTAAAATGTAATTTATTCCTGTGATTTCAAAGCTGAATTTTTAGCATCATTACTCCAGTCACATGATCCTTCAGAAATCATTCTAATATTTGCTGCTCAAAAAACTGTTAGTAGAATTTTTTCAGGTTTCTTTGATGAATAGAAAGTTCAGAAGAACAGCATTTATCTGAAATAGAAGTCTTTTATAACATTATAAATGTCTTTATCATCAGTTTTGATCAATTTAAAGCATTTTTGCTAAATTAAAGTATTAATTTCTCAGTTCCACAATTTCTATGCCAGAACAAAAAAAAACAAAAACTAATGCTTGGCTAATGTAAGTAAAAAGTCTTCTAAATTATTTTGAAGACAAGTAAACTAACTGTTTTTAATATCAAGCATGTCCCACAGTAAAGCAACAACAATTATTTTACAACAATTATGGAGGGGCAAAAGAGCACTGCTGTTAATAAAAGGAGTGGGCTGGATTTATAACACAAGACACAATGTGGGCATCATTGCCAAATGGAATGCAGCACAATAATCGTTTTATCCCGATAATCTTGTTTTCATAATCGTTTTAAGCCAAAAAAAAAGAAAATTTCTTTGCCCTTGTGGCAAGGCTAAGAATGTAACATATACTTGTTTTATGTTATGAATTGCACTTTGACTCATTTCACCCATATAACACATGCAATCAGTGTTTTGGGAGTCACACATAGTTCAAGATTATAGTAGGACACAATATTGCCAATTTTTGAAATAACATTTCCTTATCTTGTCTCTCAGTCTCGTCTCTTTGCCTTTCTCTGTCTTGGTGTCTTTCTATGACTGTCTCTCTATCTCTGTGTCTGTCTCTTTAATGGGGTGTGTGTGTATTATCAGCGCTCTTGGGCACTCGAGCCGTATTGACTCAGAAGGAGATGTTGGATAATAGATATTAATGTCACTGTCAATAGTGTCCAATGCTGCTCAGAGCTATCTGTGTGACTGTGTGCATATTGTGTTATTCTTTCCCTCCTCTACACAAATGCCTTTGTATACTCTCTCCTTATTGTTACGGCTAAAAGGCAAGCATCTGGACAAAAAACCCTAACCTTCAGTATCAAACTTCAGCCTGTAACTTGTCCTTTAGCATTTGTGCTACAAACATGAATGATACCACAAGTCATGACGCTTGTGGAGGAGAACTGTTTTATTACATTTGTAAGCGACCAGGCTTGCAGTGTTTTGTCTGGGGAACAATAAAACAGTTACACTGAAGTAGAGCTCTAAACCATATCCAGCACAGTACACAGCTGTTTGTCTTTTGAAGAAAATATTCTTTACAAAATAGTGAATGTTTTAATCTCACAATTTTAGTATGTATTTGAGTGGCCGAAAAATAACATTGCTGAAGTTTAAAATACATACCAAATCTTTAAAGATTTGATAAATATTATGATGCATGTCTTTCACCCTGTTTTATTGTGTTATTTATATACTATTATAATATTTATAGATCTGATTTATAATATTTAGATGATTTTTGTGCTTTGATATATTTTAAGATTTAAAGTTTTAGTAATTTTGGTATGTACTTTAATAATTTTTATAAGTTTTTTTATTTTTCTATTTAGCTTTATTTTAGTAATGTTAGTATTTCATATTTAACTAATTTAATAGTTCAAATTTAAAATGTTAATTTAAGTTCTTTGCTTTAAGTTCTCCTGTACTATTTGCATCTTATTTCAGCTTTAATTCATTTAACAAAAGTGGTTTTAATCGTTTGTTTTAGTTAACAATAGCAATACTGTTTTACCTTTTCTTTATTATCATTGACAAAATCAAAAAAGTCTTCATTAAAAAACATAATTGGCAGTAATTTTGTTGACAAGATTAATAGTGCCACTTATCAACCACCCCAAATGCCCTACAAACCACTTAGCACCTTAACCACCCACAGCATCCTAGAAAATCGCAATGTTAAAGTTTTTTAACCATTTTGCATTCTCATGTGTTTGTTTGTTTCAGGTGTGACGAAAGTGGATTATGGAGACATCTCATCCAGAACATCCCTGAGACAGAGACTGCAGTGTAAGCCGTTCTCCTGGTACCTAGAAAATGTTTACCCAGACTCCCAGATACCACGCCACTACTACTCGCTGGGAGAGGTCTGTATCACTTTCTCTCTCACACACGCACACTCATGCTGATAGCAAAAGGGAAATCACTGCATAGTGTGATAAACACATTTCTGTGTGTGTGTGTTAAAGAAGCACAGGAGTGAATTAGCATGGGGCGTTCTTTTTCGCGGGGTTGACTGTCACAGGAATTGATTGTTTGTTTTTTAAATTCCAGTCACTGTGTTCAGGAAATGAGAGACATTTATTCTCTCCTAGTCTGCTCTCCCTCTGTCATCGTCTTGTTTCCTGTTCCGTCTCTCACCCTTTCGTTCCATCTGTCCATCGCTGCCTCTCTTTTTCAGACATTCTTATGAATAAAACATGCGCGTCATCTCTGATGTCTGAAATTCGCTCAGTCTGTCTGTTCTTCTAACTGGTTAAGGCTCTATCTTCCTTGTGCTGTCTATGGTTCGTTCCCTTTTAGCTCATCTTTGTCACTCCTCGCCACTGATGGTGACATTGTAAGGTGTAAGGCAGGACACAGACAGAATAATACATGGAGCAAGTGACGTCACAATAATGTTCCATGTGTAGCCAGTAAAAAGTTTGGGGTTGAAGTTTTTGAAAGAAGTCTCTTATGTTCAACATGGCTGCATTTATTTCTTCAAAAATACAGTACAGTAAAAACACTAATATTGTAAAATATTATTACAAATATTTTTTAAATATAATTTATTCCTGTGGTGGCAAAGCTGAATTTTCAGCAGACATTACTCCAGGCTTCAGTGTCACATGATACTTCAGAAATTATTCTAATATTGCTATTTATTGTCAATGTTGAAAACAGGTATGCTGTGTAATATTTTTGTGGAAACCGTGATACTTTTTTCAGGATTCTTTGATCAATTGAATGTTCAAAAGAACAGGATTAATTTGAAATATAATTTTTTTGTAGCAGTGTAAAAGCCTTTACTTTCTTTTGATCAATGTAATGCATCCTTGCTAAATAAAAGTATTCATTTCTTTTAACAAAAAAATCTTACGGATCCCAAGCTTTTGAACAGTAGTGCATGAAAAGGTTTAATAGCTAGCACAATAAGATAAAGCAGTAAGAGAGGCTGGGTAAAATCCCAAGATCAATCTTTCACTCCATGCCTATTTTTGTATCTGACTGAAAATGTATTAGTGCACTGCTTCCTGTCATCGCATTCTGCTGTAGTGTGGACCCTTATGTTTATTTTTTATTTAATATTTTTGCAGAAGAGTTACTTGTGTGAAGAAGCATTAGCAGAGAGAGAATTGGCATTATAAGTGAAAATAGCCTACTGAATCATAATCAGATCAGATTGAATCAGAATCGGAATCTGAACCATTTAAGAGCTGATGAATCTGAATTGCAGTCATTTTGAATCTAAATAGTTGTAAAATATTTGGAAATACCCAACCCTTTGAGGGGCTGTGCATTACAATGATTATAACAGAACTATTAAAACAGCCAAGTATTAAATCAGCATTTGCATGAAACACTGGCTAAGTATAATAGCAGCGAAGCTGTTAAATGTGATGTGATTGTCATGGTTTAAGCCCCACTGATCTTGACGTTTGTGTAACTCAGTGTTTTGGATGAAAGCAGCGAGCTGTCTTTCCCTCCATCTGCTGTCTTTCATCAAGTATACATTTACGTGTGTGTTTGTGTGTTTGATTGGCACAGTTGTCTCTTAGTTCGTCGATACTCCCCCCTGGTGTGCGATAAGCTTTGGGTAATTAACCATGTTGGACACTCAGACAGAGACGTGACTGTGTTTATTCATGCAGGAGAGCTGCTTGAGTGTGTCTAATCTATTTGTGTGATCTGTCCGATTGCAGATCCGTAATGTTGAGACTAACCAGTGTCTGGATAACATGGCCAGGAAAGAGAATGAAAAAGTGGGCATTTTCAACTGCCATGGCATGGGTGGAAACCAGGTCATCTTTCTCACTTTTAAAACACAAACTTGGTTAGAGTAATCGTGTTGATGCTTGACATGTATGACACTGATGTATTGTGACCTTTTCCGCCCGCTCAGGTTTTCTCGTACACAGCCAATAAAGAGATCCGAACTGATGACCTCTGTTTGGATGTGTCTAAACTCAATGGTCCGGTTATGATGCTCAAGTGCCATCACTTGAAAGGCAACCAGCTCTGGGAATATGACCCTGTGGTAAGTGTGTAAATGTGAAACAGATCACAAAATCTAATTTACAGTAATGCTCTTACTGTTCTATGGGGCAGGGCGTTACACCAGGATAAATGTTAAAATACACAATACTTAAATCTTGCTAATCTTGTCTGTGTAAAGTTACATCCAAAGTTACATGCTTCTGGAGGGCTACCTTCCTGCAGACTTCAATTTCAACCCTGCTCCAACATTCTTGCCAAGTAATCCTGAAGATCTTAATTGGTTGGTTGGCTTGTTCAGGTTCGTTTGATTAGGATTTTAGCTAAATTCTGCAGGATAGTGGTCCTCCAGAAGCAGGGTTGGCTACCCCGGTGAAAAGCCTTGCTTGATGAGCATAAAGATACCTAAAAGAGTTGTTAAAAGGATTGATTTTGGCAGCTTTACTGTTGAGATACACATTTTTGTATAGATTGTACAGAAGAATTAATGTGTTTTAACAAAAATACAAGCTTATTCTTTTAATCTGTTCTTTAATGCCTTCCCCCTCGACATCCACTGCAAGTCACATATTGTAAATATGTTTTTACAAACTGACAAGTGAAAATTGCTGCTTGTGGTAATTAAGAACATGCTCCAGATGTTGTTGATAGAGCTTAATTTGTTTTGAATCCAAAATACTCCCTGAACATGTTTTATCCCAGACGAGCCCCCAATCCAATTCTGTCCAATCCTGCTCCTGGAGGGTCACCTTCCTGCAGCTCTGCTCCAGCACACCTGCCTAGATGTTTCTAGTAATCCTGAAGACCTTGATTAGCTGGTTCAGGTTCGATTGATTAGGATTTGAGCTAAATTCTGCAGGATAATGGTCCCCCAAGAGCAGGGTTGGCTACCCCTGGTAAAAAGCCTTTTGCTTGATAAGCATAAAGATACCTAAAAGGACTGTTTTTGACAACTTTACAGTTGAGATACACATTTTGTATAGATTGTACAGAAGAAATAATGTGTTTTAATGAAAATACATGCTTATGCTTTTAATCTGCTCTTTAATGCCTTCCCACTTGAGTTCCACTGCAAGTCAGATATTGTAAATATTTGTTTTTACAAACTGACAAGTGAACATTGTTGCTTGTGGTAATTAAGAACATGCCCCAGATGCTGTTGATGGAATTTGTTTCGAATCCAAAATACTCCCTGAACATGTTTTATCCCGGACGAGCCCCCAATCCAATTCTGTCCAATCCTGCTCCTGGAGGGTCACCTTCCTGCAGCTCTTCTCCAGCACACCTGCCTAGATGTTTCTAGTAATCCTGAAGACCTTGATTAGCTGTTTAAGACTATCTATAAAGTTTAAGACTGTCTATAATTAGAGTAGACCAGGGGTGTCCAATCCTACTCCAGGAGGGTCACTTTCCTACAGAGTTTAGCCCCAACACACCTGCCTGGAAGTTTCCAGTGATCCTGAAGACCTTTATTACCTGGCTCAAGTGTGATTAATTCTGAATATTGATTATCACTTAATGACATCTAGGTGATGACAAAGGTGGTGAAACGTGTAAAACAATGTTTTAAACACATTTTGCACTGTTCTCTCATGCTTGCATGCATGTATGCAGATGTGCTTTTGACTCTTGATTTTCACCTCAAGGGTCGCAATGGCCTCATATATGTCATATAACATCAAAAACAGCCAGCTAACCCTTTAAAGCTGTCTGTCTGCAGGGTGCGCACTCGTCCTTCTCTTGTAATGTACAGTGGGTACGGAAAGTATTCAGACCCCCTTAAATTTTTCACTCTTTGTTATATTGCAGCCATTTGCTAACATACACATACACCCCATGGCTTCCCTTATAAACACTGCTGAAGGGATGCTAGTTTAGTAAGATTAAATCACCTCTCTGTCAATCTTAAAAGTACATCACAACGCACCTTCAGGCCTGAGGAGAGTGAATTAGCCAAGGGGAGGAAAGAGGAAGATTGCTTTTTGCAATCCTCTGCTGTTGGCTTAAAGAGATGCCTGTTACTCCAAAGCCTCCTCCTCCTCCCCCTTCTCGCCCCAGATTCGAAGCCCCACCACGTTGGCCCGGTGCCCGGAGAGACGGAAGGCTGCACAGAATAGAGAACTCGAGCAGAGACTTTCCACTGTCAGATAAAGGTTCTGTTTTTCTCGTGGGGAGAGAGAGAGAGACAGACAGAGTGGAAGGAAAGGAGATTCACAGTGAGCACGATCAGGAAATCTCTTGCCAACGAGAGCACCTCTCCTGCATGCATTACCATACATTACCTTCGCAAGCTCATCGACGTGTGTGTGCGGCCTCACACCTTACACTGTGTGTCTTATAGGTTCTACCGCTATCCTAATTGTATCTGTGCGGCTTAATGCTTCCCGCTAGACTGAAACTCTAGAGCACTCAGCTTACCTAAGGCCCATTACACACACTCACACACATGCTCCACTGTAAAGCAATCCCTGTGCATCGACAATTTGTCTCTGCCCTGGAGCGCACAGGTTGTCCAGTCCTGCGTGTATAGCGTGGAGTGGCATACTGCTTACTATCAGTAATATTGTATTACACTATGAATACTGAGCACAGGAATACCTGGATGACCTACTACATTTGCCTGAAGGAGCATGAATCTAGCTCACAGCATGGGATCCCACAATGCAGTGCGCTCAACTTGAACTTGCTTTTCTGTTGTGACAAATTAAGCATAATATCAGACATGATCTTTAACTCTCCCTTTACACATTTGAATGGACACCCAAACATTGAGAAATTTAAAGAAAATTGGTCTAAAATGCAAAGTAATAGCAATTATAGAGCTCAATGGTGATGTTTTGTTTTTCAGATTTTTACCTGCCCTGCCATTTTCATAATATTTTTTTAATCTGGTGTATTTTTTAAAATAAATTTCATAAAAATGTAATTGTTAAAATTCAGTTTTGTAATTATTATGTAGATATTAATAATGTAGATTTAAATAAAATTTATTTATTTTATTGAGAATCCCTATACATATGAATACTTTTATTGTCAGTCCTCAGTCTCTCATTCTGAGAAGTGCGCGCACACACACACGCACATACAATATATATACAGTGGGTACGGAAAGTATTCAGACCCCCTTCAATTTTTCACTCTATGTTATATTGCAGCCATTTGCTAAAATCATTTAAGTTAATTTTTTTTCCTCATTAATGTACACACAGCACCCCATATTGACAGAAAAACACAGAATCGTTGACATTTTTGCAGATTTATT